GCAGTATTTCTCACCTTCTTCTCTCTTCAAGTTCCTTTCGATGTTGGCCACGCACGAAGCGCATGTCATACCAGTGACCTGAATGTAGCATTTCGAGGGTGGGTTTCCATCCTGATTCTCATGGACCGGGGACGGTTTGGAGCGAGTCTCTGTTTTGGAGAGTTTATTATTCTGGGATTCTGCCATCCTTTCCTGGGAAGGCTGAGTTATGAGCACCACAGGATCCGGGCTTGGTGTCACTGGAAGCAGAAAGGAATACTTTTGAATGCTTTACAGACAAAAATCTCCACGACTAAAAAGGTCCTAAAGATATCCAAACTGGGAGAAGTGTGCCTGTTGCTTTGCCAAAACCTTCCCAGGGAAAACACACCTTACAACATTCATGTTGGAGTTCAGCCTGTGATTGTGTTTCAGGATGAAGGTACTTTGGATTTGGGAAGTGATGCCAATGAATTTCAAGATGGCAATGGTTTGGTCAATGATACTGATGCAGAGAAGGACCAGGAGACCCCTGTGCAAAGCGTAGTTTCACATGAGAATGTCCCTGAAGAGTGTGGGGATGACAAGTGTACTCCCTGAATTGCTACCAGAGACTTCCCAGGATTTGGGGCTTGAAAACAACTGGGCACCTGACCCAGCTGTGAGACTTAATGAGCAAATATATAGGCGGGAAGAAATTAGTCAAAACAGACAGGCCGAACAGTGCCTTCGGTGTTCTGCCGGGCTCCGACAGAAAAAGATAGGGGATCTCAAGTAAAGCAAAACCAATTCCTGAGTGCATGGAATAGCTTAACGAGGGGATAAAAGTTTCAAGTATGGGAAATATAGTCAGATGAAGCATCATTGGAATCAAGTTTATAATATAATAATAATAATAAACTTTATTTCTACCCCGCCACCATCTCCCCGATGGGGACTCGGAGCGGCTTACATGGGGCCAAGCCCGGACAACATAATACAGCAATAAAGTCAAAGCATACACAACAGACAACAACATTATCAAAATGACATTAAAAATAATAAAATAATAATAATAATAATAATAATAATAATAATTCCAATAGACAGTTCTAACAGTTTAGTTCTCGTCTCATGGAAGCTTTGCTTGGAAGATTCTTGTCCAAGTATTTCTTGTTCATGGTTTGGATTCTTGGATCAATGTTTCCTGTTTTCCTGAATTATTTATTTATTTATTTATTTGGGGTTCTTTTACCCCGCCCTTCTCACCCCGAAGGGGACTCAGGGCG